GCCGGTGATGGGGGCGCGGGATGCCGCAGCGGGGGCTCCACAGGGGCCGTGCGCGCCATATCGGCGGCCGCGGCGGCACCGACGGCACCGGCGGCGGCACCGGCGGGGGCAGGGCCTGAAGGGGCCGACAGCCAATGGGAAGGCCAGTGCGGGGGGGGTACAGCTCACGGGGAGCGTAGGCGGCGAGATGAAGACAGGTGTAGCAGAGAGCCAATGGGCAGCCGCGCACGGATGACGTAGGTGGTGAATGGCGAGCAGGAGAAGGGCACAGCCAATGGGGATGCCGGAGAGTGGGCGGTGTGGGAGGCGGGATGATGGGGAAATCAATGGGGAGGTGGGAATGGGGGTGGTGCGGGCCCAGGAGGCCGAGCAGGAGTAGGACTGCTAATAGGGAAGTCTGAATGGGAGCGGCATTGTGGGCAGCGGGGAGGTGGAATGGCTTCAGGCGATGGGGGAATAAGGAAGCGAACCCACAGGTCCGAAAAGTGGGAGATCCGCGGGTTGCGTAGATAGTGGGACGTAAGACAGAAACAGAGAACAGCCTATGAGGAGACGCGCAGAGGTGACGTAGAGGCAAGATGACGATAATAGCCAAAGTGAGCCAGTGCAAAGTCTTGTAAGCCTGCTCTATGGCTTCAAGGGGAGGAGCCAGGGCGGAACTAGCCAATGCAGAGACCAAAAGGAGACCACGAGGGGGTGTGTGAGCCGCCACAGAGGTGGGACCGAGCAGGGCAAAGCCAATGGGGATGGGGATGAAGGCAGGGGCAAGGAAGAGAGATGGCAGATAGCCAATGGCGGGGGGGGGGGGGGGCAGGGGAAGCCAGTGAGAACTCAAAGGGCAGTGCTAGCGTGGGATTGACCAATACCAAAGCTAGATAGTATAGCGGCAAGAGGAAAGAGCAGAGCCAATAGGGGCGGGGCAGATGGTGCGAAGGAAGGCAAGAGTAGCCAATAAGGAATCTAGAGAGGGGGCTAATGCTTAGGCAGAGCCTGAGCTGTTGGGTGGTCTAGCAGCAGAACCATAGAATGCAGGCATCCAATAGAAAGGGTATGCCTCTGGGGGGCATAGATTTTTCCTTTCGCCCTAACCTTCCAGGACTCCCCATTGTCCTGGAAATGCCCAGAGAGCCGGAAGGCCTAGACAGCACCTTAGTGTGAGACCAAAGAAATCAAAAAGAATTTCCCCCTACACGCCTATCTCCCAGGCTTTGCTTTGAACCCCATTCACTAGCCAAGAATGCCCCTGATTATTCGTTAATGTCCCAGATTGATCATTAGCAGTCTCCAGGATTTTGCACCACTGTTGAATGAATGCCCAAATGGAAAATGGAAATTTTTGAAAGATTAGCTTTTTCTAACGTCAGCAATGCTGAGCTTGACTCTATGCTACCAGGAGTCAATTGGGTATATTGATAGACACTGGCTAATATAACCACAAATCAAAGCCCTGCCTTTCTTGCCAACTGTGATACTCAACACCTCTTAAGTGGCCTCACCTTCCTTCTTTTTGTTCAAATCTCTGCTCCTACTATTTCTTCCACCCAAGACTACTATTCCTTCTGCTGCTTCTATCTACCAAACTGTTTTCACTCTCCCTTTGAGGTCTTATCTCCTACTGAACTGTAGCCTCTGTCAACTGAATATATACATGCATATATTCCCCCTCCACCCTGGGAGGATTTATCAAGCACCTACTGTATGCCAGGTTATGATCATGCCGTTGTCTTATCTAATACAGCATCCCTAGGAGGGAGGCAATTCCCCCCAGCAGCCTCTCTTCTCTTTAGGTCTTAGAGTCCAGGATGGGGTTATGGGTCAGGAAAGAATATGTAATCTACAAGTTGCAGAAACATCATTAGATCTTAAACAAATAAAATTTTATTTCCTCACCTAAAAGTTCAAACTGGAAAGAAGTCCAGGGACGCCGTTCCTACCCATGCATTTTGAGCATCAGCTATGTCCTGGTCTGGCCCCAAGACTCTCATTCTTCAGCAAATTCTGTGGGTTCTTTATTGAAAATATTTCCCTAATCCACCCTCTCACCTCCTCCTTCACTGTGAGCACTGTCACCAGTCACCTAGACTACTGTAGTATCTTCCTCCTTGCTGATTCTCCTGCCTCCACCCTCGACCCAAGCACTCCATTCTATATTTGGCAGTCCAGGGCATTCTGTTAAATCTTAAGACAGTTTATGTCTCTCCTTTGCTCACAAGCCTCCCATGGTTCTCTCTCACTAAGTGTAAAAGCCAAGGTCCTTACCATGACCTACAAGGTCATGCATGGTCTAACCCCACTAGTGCCTTTTTGGTCTCAGCTCCTAACCCTCTTCTTCTCATTCACTCCACCCTAACCACACCAGCCTCCTTGTACGCATCAGGTACACTCTTCCATCAGGGCCTTTGCACTGGCTCTTTCCTCTAGAGTTCCACAGATACATACATGATATCTCACCTCCTTCAAGTTTTTGTCAAAGACCCTCTTCTCTGGGCACTTTCCTTAACCTGTTTAATCTTGCTCATTCTCCCCAAATTCCAAGTCCTTTCAATGTCCTCCCCCCAGAATCCTTCTATGCAATAGGGTATAGTCCAGTTTAGGGAGGAGGTAGTGACCTCAGCCCCTCTGCTCACCTGGCCCTGGCTTTCATTCTGCAAAGATCCTGACTTTCAGCAGCATTAGCATCACCCCTGCCACACTCAAGTGGCTTCCTAAGATCCTTGGGACCACCACCCTCATTCACTTTTTCTCCCACCTCTCTAACCAATCTCTCACAAAGTAAGTGACAGTAGGGAGAGATGGTCATGGGAAGCTATAAGAAGGTTGCAGTCCATACTTCAGACCCTGACAGAAAATCCCAGACCCCTCTCCCAGGAGGAGAGAAGTGCTAGGGCAGGGAAGGTGGTCTCATCTTCTAGAATTGGTGTGGTGTATAATTACTGAGAGACATGGGAAATGTTCAGACCCAAGTCTGCAAGGAGCAATGGGTCATCAATTTTGGGGGCCTCCCCGGGACTTGTTCCTTATAAGCATGCTCCTTACCCCCTCCCGTGCTCTCTCCCACAGGCAACAACGGATCTGTTAAGCACTTGCTGTACACACAAGGTCCCTGAAGACCTTAAAGCTGGGAGGATCTCACCCCATCTTGGTGTTTCCTCCAGCCACCCAGAACACACATAGTTCATCTTTGTGTCATAAACATGTCCCACCAACTCTAAAGCCCCAACCAGTGAAAGTTTTGTTTTGAACTAATGATAGGGAGGGTTGGGGTTTTTATTTTAATTGTTGTTGTTGGGTGTGTTTTTTAAGTCTTTTTTTTTTCTATTCACTCTTTTTTTTCCCCTTGTCTTCACAAAGACAGGCCATCAGGTCAAATATGGGCTTTTCCAGAAAGGTGAGTCGAGTTAAGAAAAGAGACCCTCCCTTTTTTTTGAGAGATTAGAAGGTGAAGGGAGGAAAGGGGATGAAAGGGCAAAGGGGCAAAAGGGTAAAGGGGTGGGTCTTGGTCACTAGATTTGTATCATATGAATTAGAAGCTGTTTTCAATTTCTCTTCCCCAGGTCTGAAACCAGTCTTGCAGAAAAGTCGGAGTGGATGTTGGATGACTAGAACCCCAGACCACACAGGGCACTGGAAATGCATGGTGGGGCTGGAAGTCTTAGCCATGGCCAGTCAAGAGAAACCTCTGGAGGATGATCTCCCATGTTGACCAGTGGTTGGAAGAAGGGAATGCGCACTGAGATGAGGAGACGCGGCCACTGAATCTTGGACAATCTAGAAACCTCACAAGCATCAAGCCCCCAGAGGAATCTCCAAATCCCAGAACTTCCCTTTCCTGGCATCCTAGAATTTAAAACCTAAGACTACTGGGATCACAGAAACTGCGAGTTTCAAAATCTAGCACTAAGGAAACAGCTCTCTGATATTCAGCAAATTGGTCTGCTACTCTATGCCTTCATTTTCTCCCTCTGTATAACAGCGATACAGTAATGATAATAAGATGGACCACAGAGGGCTCTGGTGAGGATCGGACACAACTGATTATGGGAAATATTCAGTACCGAGTATGGCGTGTGGAAATTCAGGATAAATGTCAGCCACCAAGATGATAGGTGATATTTGGAAATCTAAATCCTTGGAAACTGGGGCTTTTGCAAGTATAAAATCACAGAGTCTGAGCACCTCAGAAGCATCAGCTATGGTGTTCATGACAGGAGAGTCCCAGTGTCCCAAGGAGCCTCTGGGTTTTATTGTGAGATTTGATTCATTCTACTAGGGGCCACTGGGGACCTTCCCAGTAGAGTGGCCACTGGATCAGACCTCTAAAGCTCTGGGACATAATGAAGTGAGACTTTTCTGCCTTCCCTAACTCAGTGATTCCTTGTGAGTTCAGGGAGTTAGTGATTCTCAGACTCCTCAATTCTGTGAATGGGTGGGGAGGTAGGGATGGACTTCCCACTTTTTATTCATGAAATACCTGACATCCCCCTCACTCTCTGGGGGAAATACGGCTGCAGGGGTGTTCAAAGCTCCCTGTCTCTGGACAGCACAAATAATGGTAACTGTATTAGTTATACCTAAGAGGAAAATGAGTCCTGAAGCAAGGTGAAGCCTCTGGAAACAGGGTTCTGTTTTATCTCTTTCCCTAATGTTTTCTGTCCGCACACAGGACTTCACATTCCCTCTTAACCCAAACAGCCTCAGATATACTGTCACACACAGAATGGTGTCTCTGGTGCCTCGGGATGCCTCTGTGATTTGAGTTCTTTTCCTTTATTTTTTTTTTCTGACTCTATACACCTTTGCTTAAAAAACTGTGTTTTCTCATGAGCCCTGTTATCTCATTGATACCTCTCACCTCTGTGGTGAGGGGAAGAAATCATATATTCAGATGACTCGTAAAGGGCAAAGAAAAAACCCAAAATTTCAAAATTTCCGTTTAAGTCTCATAATCAAGAAGAGAAGAAGCAGAGCAGAGAGAGAGAGAGAGAGAGAGGAGAGAGAGAGAGAGAGAGGAGAGAGAGAGAGGAGAACTATGAGAACCCACCCCCCGTGATTATCAGCATATACACTCATCGAAATTGGATTATTAGAAGAGAGGTCTGTGGCTTCCACGCCGTGGTTTTTCTTCTCGGTATAAAAGCAAAGTTGTTTTTGATATGTGACAGTTTCCCACAAGCCAGGCTGATCCTTCTCTGTCAGTCCACTTCACCAAGGTGAGTGTCCCTGCTCTACCCCACCAGATGGGTGCCCTCATGGAGGAGATGGCAGGTAGGTAGGCACTTGGGGGGTCAGCGGCCTTCCAGTACAGTCAGATGCACTCAGCCACCATGAGCCCACTCAGGTAAGATCTTTTTAAAAATAATATAATAGTCATAATAAATACTAGGTAGGTGAAGTACTTAATCGGTGCTTGGGCAGGGACAAAGATAAATAAATGGATCAATTGATACACAGATGGGTAGGATTTTTTAAATTTGTCAACTGCCAGTCTTTATGGATTTCGGGGTTTTGAACAACTTGAAATGCTGTCCAAATGAAACTGGAAATCGCAGCTGCATCTCTCTTCATCTCTTCCATCTTGATGCCTCCCATCCCTCTTGTCTCTTTGTTCACCCTGTCTTCCTTTTTCTGTTTCTCTACCTCTCTCTTTCGACATGACATCTCTCTGTCTCCCTTGAACTCAGGCTCTAGGCTTTGACCGCCTCCCCGTCTCCATCTCCTCCATCTTGGCAACACTACATCATTGCCTTTCCTCTATCTCTTTCCTACCAGCGGCTCTCTTGTCTCACCTTTCCTCACCTGCCTTTCCACCCGGCATCTAGCACAGAGATTTGGATACAGCTGGTGTTTATTAATAGTGGGTCGAGTTATGTCGCTGAGGACATTTACATTTTACAAGAATGCGCATCAGTTCTGTTTGCCCCAGCAGCAGGAGGATTTTGAGTTGTCAGGAAAGGATGAGAATTTGACTTGAATGTGTGTTTACATCACATGAGAGGAGACCCTGCTGGGGGGCACTTCATGCTGTCATAAACCATGGTTTACTGAATAGTGTGCATGCATGTGACCAGATGCTGTGTCCAGGAAGGCAGGCTGTTCAGGACTGTGACAAGTTCATTTCTTCAGGCTTAGCACAATGCTTGGTACATAGTAAGCACTAAGTATTAGCTATTAGCATTTTAACCACATTATCAGCATGCAATATATTGTTTTTGTTCCTGCTTTATTCAAGTAATAGCACTTTTGCAGTCTGCTAAAAATAAATGTTTGAACACATGATCGTTCGTGGCTGTCATGACTGTCCTCACATCAGCATGAATTCTGATTTGACCAAATGCCAATTGTTGGACACTCAGGACATTTCTAATTTTTCTTCATAAACCACCGTAACTGGTTCCTTGGACTCCTGAAAATGGAGTTTCTGTGGAAAAGAGATGTGCGTTTTTAAGGTTTCTGACCCTCTCTGCAAATTGTTCTTCCAAAAGTTTGTCCTATTTCATGCTTCCTCTACTCAAGCTAATCCTGGGTGGGTATTATCATTTTTTAAATCATTTCCCACTGGGCGCAATGGCACATGCCTATAATATCAGCAGCTTGGGAGGCTGAGGCAGGAGAATCGAAAGTTTGAGGCCAACCTCATCAACTTAGTGAGGCCCTGTCTCAAAATAAAAAATAAAGGGGCCTGGGGTAGTGGCTCAGTGGTAGAGTGCTTATATGAGGCACTGGGTTTGACAACATAAAGGCATTGTGTCCAACTACAACTGAAACAAAACAAAACAAAAAACTCCATGGATGTTGAGTTATTTTTTTAATAAATAAATAAATAATATAAAAAGGACGGGGGATATGACTCAGTAGGAAAGGGCCCCGATTCAATCCCCAGTATCTCCTCCCTCAAAAAAATAATTTCCCAACTTAACAGGTAAGGAAAAAAACATTGCCATGTTGTTGAAATTTACATTTGTTGATTATTTTTACTGTTTATCATTCACTTGTACTTTGGGGGTTGTCTATAATGTCCTTAGTCCTAATAGGGTATTCATCATTTTTCTTATTGATTTGCCATAGCTCTTTATTTTTGGAAAGGATATTAACTATCAATCATATGTATGCAGCACATATTTTCCCCCAATTCATCATTTGCATTTTCTATTTGTTTATGGGTTTTCTGTGATACTCATGATGTTTTTAAATAGTGAAATAGGTTAGTCTTCACTTGTGTGGTTTCTGTCTCTGGTTTTGTGCTTAGAAAGTTCTTTCCCACTTGAAAATGAGATAAATGTTCACCCTGTGTTGGCTTCTAGTCTCCTTTATGCCTTCATTTTTTCCATTTACTATAGAGGTTAAGAGTGTGGGTACAGGAGCCAGACTGTCTGGGACAAACCCAATCTCACCTCAAGCCATCGGTGTGATTTTCAGCCAGATACTTAACTACTCTATACCTCCATTTCCTCATATGTGCTATGATGAACATAATAGTACTTACCTCAAAGGGTCTTTGTCAAGATTAAATCTATTAATCATGGTAAGTGCTTAGCACAAGGCCTGACACACAATAAACCCAAGATCAATATTAGACATTAAAATGTATCTCTGTAATGGATCTGGAATTTATTCTAGTGTATATGGTGATGGTGACATTTCAAACTCAACAGGGAAGGGTCAGTGGGAACACGGAATGATTATTTATTCAATAGCTCTTTTCCCCCAATTGTCTCAGAAATATATTTAATATTTATTTTTTAGTTTTCGGTGGACACAACATCTTTATTTTATTTTTATGTGGTGCTGAGGATCCAACCCAGTGCCCCGCGCATGCCAGGAGAGCGCACTACCGCTTGAGCCACATCCCCAGCCCCTCTCAGAAATATTTGTTAATGTATCCTCCACCCTCCTCTATTCCCTCTATGCACAGGTCTTTGTCCAATCTTTCTCCTATGATCTGTTTCTCTGTATCTGTCCTTGTACCAGGGCCACACTGTTTAGCTGTACATTGCTTTGCAATATGATTCAATACCCAGCCATAGCCATGGGCATCCCTAGCACCTTGTTCTTCCTTATCCTTTCTTATTTCAGGCAGCATCAGTCCTCCAACCAGAGGCCAGTAACTGTTCTTATTTGGGGCAATTCTCTCTTCCCTCTTTCTTTCTTTTCTCTCCCCCCACACCCCTGCCGCTCTCCATCACTTTTTCTCTGTGACTCTCAGTGTCTCTCTGTGTGAACATCTCTGTTCTCTCTCACGTCTCTCTTCATATCTCCCTGTATCTGTACTCTGTGTCTCTGTTCCCTCATGTCTGTCTGTTTCTTTCTGCATTTGTATCTGTCTGTCTTTCTCTGTCTCTTTGTCTTCATATACCTCTGTTTCTCAGCCAGTCTCCTGGATAGAGGGGCAGTTGTCAACTCAAATCCCTGTAGACACCTAACAACTCAACCAGACACAGGAGAAGGTCTCAGGCCCCCTTCTGCCGCACACCTACAGTTTACGTGTAGAAGGGTAAACTGAGGCCAAAATACAGGCAGAAGAGCCCCTTTCTAAGCCTCATGGAGACACAATAGCAGAGAGGAGATACAAGATCAGAAATCAGGTCTCTCAGTGGGACCCTGACTCTGTTTCTATCCCCTACTATGGGCCTCAGTTTACCTTTCTGCACCATGAGGTGGAGAGAGTGGGACCTAGGTTGCCTTTCCCTTTTCCGCCTTCTCACAGTTTGGATCCTGACTTAAGCACAACAATCCATGATCATAACACAGGGCCTAGCCTAAGAAGAGCAGGGCTGCGAGGGGTCATGGGCCCCATGTCAGGAGGCTAAAGGATGGTGATGATGGAAGAACATCAGTCAGTTTGGGTGTCCATAGAACTGGCACTGATTCCGGGAGCTTGTATCCTGGGGCTCCTCCAGAGAACCTGGTGCTGGGCTCCCTTCATGAGGCCCAAGCCAGAGACTGGATAGCTTCATCCTCCTCATCCTTCCATCCCTATCTCTACCAGAGAGCTCTGAGTTTTGAGACATTGACCCAAAATGAACAGGGAGACTGAGGCCACGGAAGTGTCTATTTACCAATCATTGACATTTTGCTAAGTGTTTCATATGGAATTACTTTGGAAAATAGCTTCTATTCCTATACTAATTTATACTGAACTTGAGAAGCATTAGAGCCAGTCAGTGGTGAGATGGCCCCAGGCTCAGGAGAGGAAGATGGCTACTCTGACCTCTGCCTTCATGGACCTCAGGAGGGAAGCTGAGGGTACACTTGCTGATATTCTAGGCCTAGTGGGTGAGAGGCCCTCTGAAATAGTATGCTTCCTGTCCTTCAGGCAATTCCAGTTGGTTTGCATGACAGGAACATTGGTTTATATACCAATGGATCTGTGGACCCATAGAGTTTGTGGTTTTTCTATCCTGGGTCTCTTTGAATCTAAAAAATGATGTCCTACAATTTGGAGATGTACTTGTGTGTACTCTATGAAAGACCCCAGGAATCCCAGTATTTGAGGGGCCACCCTAGCACTCCCAGAGCTTCCAACCTGGGACCTCACTGCAGCCCAAGAAAGGCCAGGTCTCTAGAACCCAGGGCTTGTCATGGTGGCCAGATGGACGTCACCCACCACATCCGCCAGCACCCACATCACCCCACCTGGGTCGGCTGCAGGATGGGCCAGCCAGTTCTCGGAACGAAACCCGTGGGGTGAAGTCCTGCCCCCTTCTCTTCCTCCTTGGTGCGGATGAAGCCCAGCGCATCCGGCCGCCATGACGTCAATGGCAGAAAAATCTGGGGAAGTCGGGGGCTGTAAGAATAGGGCCCAGATGCAGACCCCGATAGGAAAACATAATCTGTGTTCCAGAAACATCCTCCATGCAGCTTCTGAGAAAACTAGTCAGAAAGGGACGCCCAAACAGACAGTGCAGGAAGCCGGCTGGCCAGCCCGGCCCTCCAAGTACCCCGCCACCAGACAGACCATATCCAGGTCCCCTTTCTGAGAATGTATTTAGACTTTCCTGAGTCAGACCACTCGAGATATAGTGGGGGAGGAGATTTCCTATAAGCTCTGGCCAAGTGTCCAGGTAGCTTCAGAAGTGCCAATGGGCCAGCCATGTGGGCCAGGCCACAGTGGTGGAAAATATCCGGTCACTCACCAAAATCAGTATTCGTTTGTTCAGGCTGCTGTAACAAAGTATCACAGACAGTGTGGCTTAAGCAACAGAAATTTATTGTCTCATAGTTCTGGAAGCTAGAGATCCAAGATGAAGGCGTCGGCAGGGTTAGTTCCTTATGAAGGCTATGAGAGAATATGCTCCAGGCCTCCCTCAGCTTCTGGTGGGTTGTTGGCAATCTTTGCTCCTCCTTGGCTTCTGGAAGCATCACTTAATCCCTGCCTTCATTGGTTCACTCACTCATTCACTCACCTCCTCATCTCTCCACCTTTTTCCCAGACTCTTGGTCTGAGCCTCCACAGACCTGGACTTCTGATTCTCATACTAATATTCAAACCCTGGAGAGACTAGGGGTTTAATACCCAGACTCTCACGCCCATCTCCCTCAGCGCTACAGTTCTGACAGCCCCCATGAGGTGACAGCAAAGAAAGGAAGGACAACTGCCCCTCCCAGAAATCTCCTAGACTCTTCTCAGCAGCTGTGTGCCCAACCCAGTGCTGTGCAGCAGGACAGGGAGTCTCTCACATGCAGGCACAGTACAGGGGGCTTGTGAAAATGTGCACACAGCCACACATGCTTCTTGGAGAAAGAAATGGAGTTCTCAAGTCACCATGGGACCATGGAACTCTGTACTTGGGTGTCCCTTTCAGTAAAATGGGGGTTGGACCAGGCAGTCCCTACTAGTTCTGGCTTCCTTGCTGACTGGGATTATGGGATTCTGAGAAACTGAGGCCATGAACTTTGGGGAGTGTTAATGCTAGGGGTCAGTAGGGGGACCTGGAGTCACTACAGAAGGCTTTCAAGTAGAAAAGCAAGCATTTTGTGGCTTAGATAGGGAAAGAAGAAGAGTGGCAAATAGTATGAGCCAGGGCCTGGAGGTAGCCTTTGGGGAGTAGGAATTGGGATGACTACTAATGGGGGCTGGGTTGAGGAGTTCACACAGGCTCTAACTCAAGAAAGCATGTCCCTGGTTCTCTCTGGCATCTGCCATGCCACCTCCATGCAGGACAAGAGCTCAGAAACAGACTATCCTGTCCCTGAGCACCACACTCCTATACCCAGCTGCCCATCTGGCACGTCCATCCATGCGTTCAATGCCAGACTCTTCATATCCATCCACACTTGATTATCATCCCCGACCCTGTTTGTCACATGTCCCTGATAATGTCAGCTGTTTGTTTAGCTTCTCAGGCTAAAACCCAGAAATCACCTTGACCCTCCCTCTCTCACCCACTATGTCCAAGCTGCCAGCAACTTCTCCTGACTCCACCTTGAAAATAGTCTCAGAATCCAGCCACTTCTAACCATCTCCCCTGTCACCATCCCAGTCAGTGCCAACACGATCACCTGCCTTGACTGTTGCAGTAGCCTCCAAACTAGTCCCCCACAGAGTAGCCAGATGAATCTTTAAGTCCATACCCATCACTGGAGTAAATCAATGCCAATTATAATCTGTGACCAGTTCCAGCAGAAACAGCAAAAACTGTGCCTTATGCAGGGTGCAGGGGTTACCAGGGGTGAGATTTGAAGACTCGAGTGGTAGGAGGATGGGCTGAGACCTACCCTAGCTAATGTCTCACAAACCAACTACCCGTTGCCCTCATGGGGGAAACTCCCACAGCAGGGTGGTACAGGCATGTGCAGGCAAGCTGGCCGATGGACCTGTGCATATGGGGTATGTGGGCACACATGCCTATTCCTGATAACCATATGTATGTGTGTGTGTGTGTGTGCACGCACACGCATGACTAGAGCTGGGGTGCGGTTGTGGGTCCCTTTATGACATATCCCCAGCCAATACCTGTTCTGACCAGTAGGGGTGTCCATGTGGTTCAGAGGATCTCACACCAAACCTAGCACACGTGTGACTCCTTCCCACTATGTCCCTGCAGACTGCCCTTGGACAAGGACCCAATGCCCAACCCCAGGCCAGCCAAGCCCTCTGCCCCTTCCTTGGCCCTTGGCCCATCCCCTGGAGCCTCGCCCAGCTGGAGGGCTGCACCCAAGACCTCAGACATCCTGGGGACCAGGATCCCAGGAGGAACCTTCCAGGGTCGGGAACTCCGAAGTGGGATCCATGCCTCTTCCTCCTCCTCCTTGAACCCCCTGCCAACATCGCAGCTGCAGGTGAGGCCCAGGGCCCAGGATGGGGCAGGCAGGGTGGGGTACCTGGGCCTACAGGTGCCGACCTTTACTGTGGCACTGAGCAGGAGGGGTGCAGGCTGGGGCACAGGAAGTGGTTTCTGGGTCCCAGGCAAGTCTGTGACTTATGCAGATATTGCAGAGTCAAGAAAGTCCCCACCTGCCAGGCCTCAGAGATTTGAGGCTCTCCCCAACCTCCCAATCCCTGTTTCAGGAGAGGAGGAGACTCTCTAATGATCCATGGGCACAACTATGTGTCCTTATCCCCATGTGACAACAGGAGATAGCTGGGGCCTAAGGAGGTGAGATAATAGGGTTGAGGCCAGCTCTGCCACTTATTAGCTATATGATCTGAAAAAAAAAATCACTTAGTCTCCATGAGCCTCAGTTTCCAAGTGTGGAGACAATCGTGGTACCTACGGTGGGGGACTACGGAGAGGAGCATATGAATTAGCAAGGATGAGGGTGGTACCTCACACGCCTGCCTTCTCCCTCCAGCTGCCCACAGTGCCCCTAGTCATGGTGGCACCCTCCGGGGCAAGGTTGGGCCCCTCGCCCCACTTGCAGGCACTTCTCCAGGACAGGCCACATTTTATGCACCAGGTACGGACCCTAAATAGACTGGGAAGAGGGAGCCAGTGGGAGAATTTTGGGGAGGAAATCCTGAGCCATGGCCCCATATGTGTCCCCCAGCTCTCCACAGTGGATGCCCATGCCCGGACCCCTGTGCTACAAGTGCGGCCACTGGAAAGCCCAGCCATGATCAGCCTTCCACCACCCACCACCACCACCGGGGTCTTCTCTCTCAAGGCCCGGCCCGGCCTGCCACCTGGTAATACCTTAGCCTGTACCCCATAACTTTATTTTTTTATTTTTTTTTTTTTACCCCATAACTTTAGAGAAGCTGAGAGTCCCCGAATCCTTGAACATGTGCAATACTGACTGTTCTGAATCAAGGCCCTGTGGGGGTCTGAGGGCTCAGGTCTTAGTCACATAGAAACTCTAATCTCCAAAAAATGTCACATTAAGAACCTCCAAGATGCAGAATGTCAACATCACGGAACCACAGATCTTTGCAAAGTTAGTCAAAATGTCAGCACCTGCCGATGGCTGTCTTTGAGCTATTATGCCAGAAGCCCTGAACTGTGGGGACGGCAGAGTCCTTTGGGAGTCAGGGTCTTTGAAGCACAGGAGGGTGTGAGGCCTTATGGGCCAAGCTGCAGAGCCTGGCCCCCAGCCCCAGAGGTGCCCTGTCCCTACCCATAACAAGTATGTGCCCTGTTCCTACCCACAGGGATCAATGTGGCCAACCTGGAGTGGGTGTCCAGGGAGCCAGCACTGCTCTGCACCTTCCCAAGCCCTGGCACACCCAGGAAGGACAGGTGAGTGTACAGGGCAGGGGAGGATCCTTCACCTTATTGTTCCCCTCCCCTGATACCCTCTTGTCCCCTCAGCACCCTTTTAGCTGCACCCCAGAGTTCCTACCCACTACTGGCAAATGGTGTCTGCAAGTGGCCTGGATGTGAGAAGGTCTTCAAGGAGCCAGAAGATTTCCTCAAGTGAGTGACCTGGTTAGTGGGTATAGGTCTAAGATGCAGATCTCCACTCAGGCTTCCTCTCAATAAAAGTAAGATGAAACAGGTAAAAGCTGAGAGTGTGGATTCAAATCCAGCCTTTGATGCTCAACAGCTGTACAAACTTGAACAAGCCATTAACTTCTCTGGGCCTCAGTATGTATAATGGGGCATGATAAAAAAGATGCATACTGATATTTACCTCCGTCTTACAGACAAGGGAACTGAGGTCAAAGAGGGTGTGTCTTGATCAGGATTACCCATTTCCCTCGTGACAGTGCTTGGATGTGAACTCAGGCAGCCAGACTCCAGAATCCAACACATCACATTATTGATCCCCAAAGTCCCAGGTCCTATAGATGGCTGTTGCTGCCTTCCCTTGGGCCTGTCTCAACACACACACACACACACACACCCTCCTCTACTTCTGTAATATACCCAGCTAATAGCAACCAGTACGTCCTGCTTTCTTCACAGCCAAGCCTTTGCAAAGGCTGTGCCCTCCACCTGGAATGCCATTCCTGGTCTTACCTGCCACCCATTTTCAACAACATCTCTAACACTCTGGCCAGGCTCAAGGGGCAAGATCAGGCCTGGCACATAGTAGGTGCCAAAGGGCATGTGTTGAAGGAAGGGCAGATGTGACAGAGGGCTTGAGGGAGGGGATGGCAGCTGAGGCTCTAAGGAAGACCTCCCAGAGGGAGTGGCCATCCCCAACTGAAACATTGAGCTAGGAGGCCAGGCGCACCATGGTCACCTGCATGAAATCTTTCCCCTACCCAGGCACTGCCAGGCAGACCACCTCTTGGATGAGAAGGGAAGGGCACAGTGTCTCCTCCAGAGAGAGGTGGTGCAGTCTCTGGAGCAGCAGGTAATGCCTTCAAGAGGAAGGTGGGTGGTGGGTGGGTGAGCCTCATGACCATACTGTGCCAGGAACCAGGATAATCCAGGATGAGTGTTGTGTAAGGGAAAGGAGGGAGGGGACTCCAGGGAGGAACACAGCCGGAAAGGTATGGTGGAGAAAGGCCAGATGGAAGCCCCATTTTTTGTGCCCATCCCCACAGCTGGTGTTGGAGAAGGAGAAACTGGGCGCTATGCAGGCCCACCTGGCCGGGAAAATGGCACTGACCAAGGCTCCAGCTACGGTAAGCTACCCCAGACCTGAAGGCAGCAGAACTAGAGAGCTGGGGGACAACTGAAGGGTGCATGGGAACCTGTCCTCACACACAGCCTCTGGAGTCTATGAGTACCTGCATATGTGCCACACGTGAGAATCAGTCCTCTTCCACTTGCAAACCCTTTGACCTTACCCATCCTGATTCTGAATTTCCAAAGCAATAACAGGGGCTGGGGGTGGGGCTGAGGCTCAGTGGTAAAGCACCTGCCTAGCATTCAGGAGGCCCTGGGTTCCATCCGCAGCACTGCAAAAAAATTAAATTATGCCGAGGAGGTTGAGGCAGGAAGATCACAAGTTTAAGGTCAGCCTGGGTAATTTAGTAAGAAGACCTTGTATCAAAATAAAAAGGGCTGGGGATATAGAGTATCCATGAATCCAATCCCCAGCACAACAAAAATATTTTTTAAAGCAATAGGGCCAGGTTGTGTGGCATGCCTGTAATCACAGCTAGTCAGAAGCTTGAGGCAGGAGGATCACAAGTTCAAGGCCAGCCTCAGCAATTTAGCAAAACTGTTTCAAAATGAAAGATAAAAAGGGATAAGGAAGCTGGGCAGGTGCAGTGGCACACGCCTGTAATCTCAGCGGCTCAGGAGACTGAGGCAGGAGGATCATGACCTCAAAGCCAGCCTCAGCAACTTAGCAAGGTGTTAAGCAACTCAATGATACCCTGTCTCTAAATAAAATACAATAAAGGGGTGGGATGTGGCTCATTGGTTAAATGCCCTGGAGTTCAATCCCTGGTACAAAAAAAAAAAAAAAAAAGATAGGGATGTAGCTCAGTGGTTAAGCACCCCATACTTAATGAAGTTAGACCATGTGATCCCTAAAGCACTGACTACATAACTTGGAGGGCCCAGTGCAAAATGAAAATGCAGGACCCATGTTCAAATTTCAAGATGGCAACCTCAGTGCATTCAAGTGTGGTGGTGCACGCCTATAATCCCAGCACTTGGGATGCTAGGCAGGAGGATCAAGAGTTCAAAGGCAGCCTCAGTGATTTAGTGAGGCCCTATGCAATTTAGTGAAACTCTGTCTCTAAATAAAAAAAAAATAAAGTGTTGAGAATGTGGCTCAATGGTTAACTGCCCCTGGGTTCAATCCCTGGTACAAAAAAAAAAGGTGTGGGGTCCTGTGTGACTGCAGCACAGGTCACACTCACAAAACCAGTCCTGAGTGCCAGGCACTGTTTCGGAGCACTTTGTTAGTGTTTATTCAAGCCTCAGGATTCCACTGTAAAGTAACTACCACTATCATCCCCAATTCACAGATGAGGACAATTGAGGCCGGAACGGTTTAGTTAACTCTCCCAAAGTCATAGTTGGGCACTAGAGAAGCCCTATCAGCACCACCTCATGATCCCAGCATCTGTGACTACACACCATGCGCACACCAGTATGGCTCATGCTGTTCCATGGGATTCCATGTCAGACTAGAATTAAGAGGATGCCCTTAAACACTGATTTAGCCAGGCATGGTGACATATGCCTATAGTTTCATCTACTCGGGAGGTTAAGAGGACCACTTAAATCCAGGAATTCAAGGTCACCCTTAGCAGCATAGCCACACCCTATCTCTTAAAAGAAAAAATAAAAACACTGATTTAAATATAAGAGTGGAGCCGGGTGTGGTGGTGCATGCCTTTAATCTCAGGGGCTCAGGAGGCTGAGGCAGGAGGATTGCAAGTTCAAAGCCAGCCTCAGCAACTTTGTGAGGCTTTAAGCAACTCAGTGAGACCCTGTCTGTAAATAAAATACAAAAAGGGGGGGGGGGCTAGGATGTGGCTCAGTGTTTAAGCACCCCTGAGTTCAATCTCCAGTGCCAAAAAAAAGAGTGGAAAATTTAAACCTCTACGTCACCAGCCCCTCTTGCCTCCCCCAGGCATCATCTGACAAGGGCTCCTGCTGCATGGTAGCCACTAGCACCCAAGGAAATGTCGTTCCAGCCTGGCCCAGCCCTCGGGAGGCATCTGACAGCCTGTTTGCAGTGCGGAGGCACCTCTGGGGCAGCCATGGAAACAGCACATTCCCAGGTAAGAGTGGTCTGTGCCCTACCCACTGACCTACACTCCTAATCCCACCTGGTGCCAGGCAGGGGTGCAAAGGAACTCCACATCACCACCACCCAGCTTTTGAAAATGCACATGCTTGTAAAAGCTTCCTCTCAGGATTTTTATGGCCTGAAAGTCCCCCATCATGGTCACAAATGACCAAAGAGCAAGGGACAATATATATCAAATACTCAGCAAGTGGTACCAATGTATGACCACGGTCCTTCCCCTTGGGTTGATGATGGGATTTCAGGCATATGTGGAGGAGGGTGGGACAAAGAGGGAGGAGGTCTTGGACAGGGCCTGATCTGTCCCCACCCTCTGCCAGAGTTCTTCCACAACATGGACTACTTCAAGTTCCACAACATGCGGCCCCCTTTCACCTATGCCACCCTCATCCGCTGGGTAAGCAGGGAAGCTGAAGCCCAGAGGGGAGGAAGATGATGGGGGAACCTGCCTACCAAACTCCCACCTTCCTCTGAACAACTTCAGAGTTCATGCTTCTCCAGTAAGAAACCCCAGCCCGGAGGAGCCCCAGCCATGCCTCCAATGTGATCCCTCCTACTGGCTGTACCCCAATCCTGTCCCTGAACCCAAACCTAAACTGCCAGTCGGGCCAGTGTAAGCCAAACTATGAACCCAAAACCCACCCCTCTCCAGATGTCCATGCCATTGATCCCATGCTTCACCCCATGTCTAATCCTGCCCTGATCCTTCACCCTGTACAATCTCTCTCCCTCCCCTCCCCTGCCCCACAATCCGACCCCCAGACCATAAGGCCCAGGGCAGGCCACTGCCCCTCTCAGGCCCAACTTTGGGGGAATGATCCCCTTACCCTACTCTATCCCAACTTCCAGGCCATCCTGGAAGCTCCCGAGAAGCAGCGGACACTCAATGAGATCTACCACTGGTTCACACGCATGTTTGCCTTCTTCAGAAACCACCCTGCCACCTGGAAGGTGAGTGCCTCTTGGAGGTGGTGGTGGCTGGGATGGACACAGTGCCACACAGTGTAGGAACGAGCTAACTGGGGGCTGGGTTCAGAGGCATATGAGAAAGGAGCAGGTCAGTGCTGACGGGGGATGCTGACCTCAGGCCACTGACCTGCCCCATCTCTGGCTGATCCTCCTTCCACAGAATGCCATCCGCCACAACCTGAGCCTGCACAAGTGCTTTGTTCGGGTGGAGAGTGAGAAAGGGGCTGTGTGGACCGTGGATGAGTTTGAGTTCCGCAAGAAAAGGAGCCAGCGGCCCAGCAGGTGCTCCTACCCTACCCACAGCCCCTGACCTCAAAACCAAGAAGAGGAAGGATGGACAGGAGCCAAAATGGGGGGCAGAGTAGCCCAGGGCAGGGGTGACAGGACCTGGACATGCCCACAGAGACCAAAAAGTGAGATGTCTACTGTCTTGCCTGCCAGGGCCCCTGCTCCCCAGCTGGCTGCCATCCCAGATCATTTCTTCTGCACCAAGGCTGCTTGGAGGGGCCCCAGGACCAGCCCAGCTCCCATTCCCATTCAAATCCCCCAGTCAGGTTCTCCAGCCAATCAGAGGCCTCACAACTAGCCATACATACAGCCTGTCTCGGCCACTCTCACCTCAGGGGTAGGGGAAAGTCACACAGACACAGTCACTATCCTGTCCCCTATATTCAATATAAACCCTAAATCACAAATCCCGCCTTAGTACATTCAAACACCCTCAAAGCTGCATAGTTACACATCACAAATGAGTGCAGCTCCATCAACCTGAAAGCACATACCCACTGCCAGTCTCTGGGCCCCCAAGTTCAGGGTCACACAAGGGTGTTCCCAGAGCCCCGCACAGAAGTAGCATCAGTACCCTCAGGATAGCAGGTTCCAGAATGTCACACAAACACACAACTGGTCATACACAGGCTTATGCAGCACCTAACACATGTGCTCACTCACACACAGCCTGTTGGATTTGCCTGCGTATCTCACATGTATGCTCACATAGCCCCCCCCGGTATCTCCCAAGTCCCATGAAGACACACAACAACTGACAAAAATGTACCCCATGTCTCACTTGCCACCCACCCCACTCCCATGGCCGAGCCCGATCCATGCCTCAGCCTAGACTGCAGAAGAGCCCCTCCTTTATTTGGGATCCAAGACCCCCAACCTCCAGTGCCCTCCCCAATAAACTGCAGCCAAGCTCCCACATGCTGGACGATCACCCCAGATCAGAGTTGGGGTCAAGTGAGCAAGTGTCTGAGACTAAGACCACAGCAGGAGGAACTGGTGGTAAATGGAGGGAGTAGCTAGGGCAGCAGCACTTGGCTACCACCTCCAGCACCCCACATCCCTGTCTGTGGTTGGGGAGCCCTACACAGGAGCTCCTCAGGCCTCCCGCACCCGGCCCAAGAGGCCAGCATTCTCCTGGCGAAGGGCTCGGTAGTCCTCACAGATCTTCTCCAAGTTGCTGTGGGTCTTCTTACCCATCTCCGTCTCAATCTAAAGGAAAGTGAACACACTTGCTCAGCACATAGATCCCCTTTCTTCCACAGCTCCTCCTCACCACCCCCTCCACTGCAGCTGCCCTGAACCCCTCCCACCCCCTGTCCCACTGCCAGGCCTCTGCACGTGTCATTCCCTCCACCTAAAGTATCCTTAAGCCAAAGCCTCTGCCAGCAGCCCTGGGAAGCAAGTTTGAGGACTGCAGGGTAGAAGCTAAGGCTCAGAGAAGGCCACCAGTCTGTTCCAGGCTTAGGTACCAAGTGACAAGGCTGAGCTCCAGCTATAGGCTGTCTGGTCCCACAGCCTCTCTCTGTATAAGTCAAGGAGCTGTCCCCTGACCTGTTTCAGTTCCCCTCCCATATCCAGGCCTCTCACCTGCTCCTCAAGGTCTCTAACCTCCCGCATGATAGTGCCCGTGTCCTCGATGGTCTGGATGAGTTGGCTACAGTTCTGGGGATGGCAGGAATACGAGGCTTGCACCCAAGTCAGTCCCTCCCCAACCAGCCCCCCAAGCATGCTGCTCTCCTCACCTCATGCAGCGCAGCTAGATACTTGTAGGCCTTCCGAACAGCATCATCTTTCTTGGCATCCTGACCAGGCAGAGGGGACCTTGAAAAAATTAGCTATCCACTGTCCCCCACCACCTCCATGCCACCACCCCGCTGCCTTCATCTTTCATGAAGCAAGTTCTGAGCATTATTATGCCTACAGGGCTCACTGAGGGCCTGGGCCAAGCTGGCCCATGAGCAGATGGGCCGGCAGCAGGTTAAACCCCACGCCAAACCTCATGCCAGGCCCAGCCTGCCCCACACCTTGAATACGAGCTCATCAGTCACTGCAAACGTCCGGTCCAGCTTCCCAGAGAGGGAGTTGATTTCCTTCTGAAGCTCCTTCGTGTCAGACAGGATCTGGCAGATACCAGGTTGGCCATGAGCTCAGGGCAGGGTGTCTAGGCAGGGTGGCTGGCCAGCTGAGGGTATTCATTTGCATGCACTCACATCAATTCAGGGCCTGTGTCACTACATCAGGGAGGTTGGAGTGGACTATTCTGTGCTGGGGTGTGCTAGACAGCTCTGCCTATCAGAAGCCATGAGGTCCCCATGTGGCCACCCTACTTCTGTCTGTCCACATGACCCACCCAGCCAGGCATGGTGGCACAAGCCTGTAATCCTAGCATCTTGGGAGGCTGAGACAGGAGGATCACAAATTTGAGGCCAGCCTTAGAAAGTTAGCGAGGTCCTAAGCAACCTAGTGAAACCTTGTCTCAAAATGAAAAAAATAAAAAGGGCTGGGGATGTGATTTAGTGGTTAAGCAAGAACCCCTGGGTTCAATCTCTGGTATATATATATATATATATATATACACACACACACACACACACACACACACACACATATACATATGAGACCCACCCGCCAGGGCCACTGCAATGCACCTTAGTGATCTCTTCCTTCTGCTTCCGGATATTGCCAACAATCTCCAGGATGCGCTGGGTATAGGCCAGCCGGGACACGTCTCTCGGTAAAGTCTCCAGTTCTGACACCTAGGTAGGGACACAGCAGGTATTTCCCAAGGACCCACACCCCACCCATCTTTGCCACCAGGGCCCCTTCATGGGCCTTACCAGCTGCTTATAGACTTCCTCCTTCCTGCGGGCCTCTTCAGCAGCTGCCCGAACACTCTGGTGCAGTTCCTGGATTTCTGCCATCCGTCGAGAAGATTCCAGCTACCAGGGACCCACAGGCAGAGGCAGTGAGCAGAGCTCAGAGGCAGCCTCCTAGAAGGGCACCAGACTTGCCCCATGGCCCCAGACCCCACCACCTACCTCCCTGCAATCCTGGAGCTTTCGAAGGTGGCGGTACTCAGCAAGAAGTGGAACCCGGTGCTTTTCCCACTGACCCGCCAAATGGATGACCCGCTGCGCACTGCTCTCCACCACAAGCTATGGGTGGAGACATGTCAAACAGGCTGGGCCTATCCAACCCTGCCCCACCAGCCCAACCGCAGACTCAGCCCCAGCCCACCTGCAGTTTGGCGAGATTGGCAGCCCCGTCTGGTAGAAGCTCCACTGCCCGGCTCTTCAGGCGCAGGGCCTGCTCACGCTCTGCCATGCTGAGCTTACTCTGCCGACACTCTGTCTCCACCTGGCACCACATCAGCCCCAACCCCAGTCACACATCACAGTCCCCAGTGACCCCAAGAAACCCTGGCCTAGCCTGAGGCCCCCACAGGCCTCTCTGATCCTCCAGATCCACACTGATGCCCAGGAGCCTTGCCCACACAGACCCATCTTGCCCCGCCAATGCTCACAGACCCTCAACACCACCTACAAGGCCTGACTGATGCCCATAGGTGCCTCTAACCCCAATAGGTCCAGGAAGCACCCAAACCCACATCCCCTTTTGCTCCCACCAACTCAAGAGCTCCAGAGATTCCCAATATCCTCCATGAACCGTTCTAACATCTGCAGACCTCAAGAAACCACCTCCAGGTCCCCTCAAGGCCCTACTTCTGGCCTGACCCAGCCCATGGCCCTCGCCACAGCCCCTCACCTGCACAAGGCTGATTCCTAGAGTCTTCATGTTGGCTTCCACTTCTTCAATGTTGTGGTTCATGCCCTCCAGCTGCTCCCGAAGGGACTCTAGCTCCTGTTCTTGAGTTGCCCGTGTGTCCTGGGAGGCACAGGCCAGTCAGGTGGAAATGCCAGACCCAGCAGACAGTAAAGGGATCAGGAACCCCCCGCAAACACACGGACTGCTCTGCTCACCTGTTCAGGCTGACTGGAGGTAGTTGGCACATCTGATACTGGGGCAGCCTGGGCCTGGTGCTCCTAGGGGGCATGAGGAGGGACAACCTGGATATCAGGGAAGGCCCTGCCTCTTATGGCCTGGCCTCAACACCCCAAAGCTCCTCCTAGTGCTGTACCGACATCCGTTCAACTACTAACAACTGTCGGAATGTGACTAAACAAGGGGAAGGGCAACTAAAGTGTCTGCTCTCAGAGAAACCTCCCTGGTCCAGATGTAGCAGCCCTAAATGCCTATGAGAAGGACGAGGGTCCCTCTGGGTGAGTATCCAAGGAGAGAAGATATATCCAGAGGAAAATGACTGGGGAAAGATGGGGTTTGTACCAAAAGCACCCCTCTACACTTACATGGTTCCCACCTGTATGCTCTTTCTCCACTGATGTCCCAAGAAGCTAGGGAAGCCCTCTGAACACCTTCCCTGAGGGAAAGGGCCTACCTTGTGGGTATATGGGACCTTATGTGAATAAAAGCTGCATTTATATATAAAGCAGCCCTCACCAGATCAGCACCCCAACATCCACTCAGGCCCACCCACCAGATGAAAGGTGAACTTCTCTGAATGTGTGAAGCGGGATCCCTTGGGGGCGCCAGTCCTGGCCCCAGCACCCCAGCCCTGAAGCAGCTCCCCCAGGTCTCGGGCTTGTGTGGGCGCTGCAAGTGGGCTCCAGGTCTGGCGCAGATGCTCAGCCAACTGTCTGTGGAGCCGCTGCCGTGGAGCCCGGGTGTCCTCCTGGAGAGAGCAGGCAAGGGAACAGGAGGATGTTGAAGCCTACTGGACCCCAAGGCCCTGCCTCCTCCAGAGACCACCTGATAAGTCACACCCTTCTTCCAGCCTTTCCACCGAGTCAGGTCCCTTCCTCCACAGGCTTGTGAGCTCCCTGAAGACTGGGAGGGACCTCTTCCCCACAGCCACACTTCTCTCTACCTACTTGCTCCCCACCCTGGAAAAGATGTGGGTACAGAGAGAAGCCTGGAGCCCCTAATCAGAGAGACCCACAGAAAGGGATGTGTGGGACAGAACAGAGACAGAAAATCAAAGAAGCAAGGCAAACAGAGAGAGACAGAGTTAGAGAGAGGAGAGATAAGGCAAGAAAGAGACAAGAACACAGTTTCAAGACAACCGGGGAAATTTGATTTGAAAAGCACTGGGCTATACCTGGGGTGGGACGCGAGGTGCCCGGCGTACCCAGTCCTCGTCACCAGGGCGATCCCGGCCTATATGCTGACAGAGTTGGATGGCATGGTGTTCAAGGAGTGAGGCCGCCCTCCCCAAAGGCCGGGGCACCTGTGCAGGGACTGGCAGCAGAAGGGGACTCGTCTGGAACTCCCGTGTCTCTGGAGACAGGAACAGAGTCAGCCGGCCCTCCTGCGTAAAGACGTACCTCTGCTCTGCTCCCCAACCTTCCCCAAAGCCTTAGCCTTACCTCCTCTGGAACTCAACTCAGGCATGACCAGCATGCTGGCATGGAAAGGATGCTGGAGGGGTGAGCCCTGGAGGGAGAGCAGAGTCAGAGTCTCTAGGACAAAGTGGGACAGGGGTCACTGGTGAAGGGGCCAACAACCTGGGCAACCAGATGGGGATAAGAAAGGTAAGGTGGGGACAAGCACAGACAGGAGTCGGGGATCCCACCTGGAGGTTCTGTAGCTTGGGTGTTCGAAGGAGAGGTGGGACCCAGGGCAGGGCCAGCTGGTCCCGGATTTGGCTCCCAATGGCCCGGAGGAGAATAGCTGAGTCACCTATGGGGGTTGGGGAAGAAGTGTTCAACAGATGACGATGCCACAAATCCAAAAGTAAATACTCTGGGAAATCAGCCATGGCTCCTGATTCCTCAGCCAGAAATGCAGATCAGTCTCACAGTCATTCATCAAACACTGACTGAGCACAAACTAGGTACT